GTGGTAAAACAACACCAGCTCGGATTCAGTAGACCCAGATACCACTCCCCTCCCCCTTTATCCTTTCTTTACCAGTTCTTACACTTGTTGCCCTTCTTCTTTTTTTCTTTCTTTTAACGTCTTTCTCTTCCCGCTCCCGCACTCCCGCACTCCCGCACTCCCTAACTCCACCACTCCCCTCCTTTCTTCTAGTTTTCTCCACCTTAATACCACCGCCATTTTTACGACTGGAACGCCGTAACGAATCTGATGATTTTTCTTCCCTCAGTTTGTCATAAAAAGGAAATCTCAGTGATATAGTTTTTTATCTGTCGCAAGACGTCACTCCATCTTTTTCTCTTTTCCCAAGACAGTTTCAAATACAGAGCATTCTCTAGCTTAACCCCCTGCGGAATTCTAAATCTGGTCCCCTTTTTCACTTATACAGTAACCAATTTCCCTTCTCACTATCATTTTTTGCTCTACAATCTCTTTATTTTGCCGGCTATATAAATGGCTTCTGGTAAGCATATCTCCGTGTCCTGTCGTGGGTTTCTCTTGTCGCTATTCAATTTCAACCTTAAAAAAAAAAAATATCACATCTCCTTGGGTTTGCAAAGGAACTCAGCAGCTACTAGTATCAGGAACTAATGGTGCAAATGACCTATAGAATCTTCTAAGGTTGTCCCCTTGACTTGCCATGGACATTCTCGCCCTGTGACGCACCTAAGTTTTTCTTCACTGGTGGAGGACGATCAATACTACCTGATTTCAGCATGTAAAGGTATTTGGTATTTATTTTTAATTTTTACATATATTTTGTTTTCATTCAAATTTCAGGAAATATAAAAAACCGGTTAAACTGAGTTTTCTTTTCCAGATAATAATCCGATGCTCCGCGACGGAGTCACTGGGGACTGGTCAGTCTAATTTCGGACTGCGGAGTCTAGCTTAAAATTACTGATGGGGCAAACAGGATTGGTACCTTCATGGGCCACAAGGGTGCAGTGTGGCAGGCTCGCCTTTCATCAGACGCTACAATAGCAGCAACTGCAGCGGCTGATTTCTCAGCGTGCGTTTTACCACCTGTATTCGCATCATTTTCTGACCTTTGGCTATGAACTCGCTCTAATCTTTCTCATAGCAAAGTTTGGGACACCCACACGGGGGAGTGCTTACACACCCTCCAGCATGGACATATCGTCCGTGCCGTCGCCTTCCCTCTTCAAGCTAACCCCCAGATTCTCGCAACTGGCGGAATGGAGAAGAAACTTCGTATCTTTGATCTCTCGCAAAGCGGGTCCAGTAGCTCTTCGCCTCCCATATCGCCACCCCACGGCTCTAATGGAGTTAATGGGGTGAATAGTAGATCAGCGGCAACGACGCCCACGACAAGCTTTGAAATTGGCCCTGGCATCCACGGTGGCACTATCAAGTCGATCATTTGGAACCAAGACTACAATATCATCACGACAGCCTGTGAAGATCGAAAAATCAGATGGTGGGATCTGCGCTCTCGCCTTCCCTTCGTTGAGCATACCGTTGATGGTACGATTGGGAGCTGCGAGCTCAACGCGCTGGCCACGGAGTCTGCCGGGCCGGGAATTTTGAGTGTTGCTGCGGGGAAGTCTGTCTATTTTTTCAACGGGGCTCATCCTGGTTGCTTGTTGAAGAAAGTGGACTTTGATTACGAGGTTGCGAGTGTTGCTGTCAATAACAAATCTGGGAGGTTTGTGACGGGTTCTATGGGCGACACGTGGGCACGAGTGTACGACTTAGAATCGGATGAGGAGCTTGGTATGTCCATTATGTCCCTCCCAACTCATAGAGGTAGAGAATTTGCTAATCGACATTTATTTTTCTCGATTGTAGAAGTTCAGAAAGGTCACCATGGACCGATATGGTCTGTAAGTTATTCTCCGGATGGGAAGGTGTATGGAACGGGCAGCGAAGACGGTACCATTAAGCTATGGAAGGCTTGCAGAGAACCGTATGGACTATGGAGATAAAACAAAAAGGATAATAAACTCAAAATACGGAGACTACGAAAGACGGTTGTGTCTAGTTTGGCCGTCTCCTGGTTTTTCCATGAAGAGTAATACAGTGATATTTTTATTTTTGTTTTATTTTTCATTTTTATTTTTTTTATTTTGTTTGTTATGGAAAAGACCTGTGGATGAAAAATCGTCCAAAAGGAGAGAATGCGATTTCATAAAACTCGTACATACGCTTATATGTATGTTTGTATCTGGAGGGATATTTCCACTTCGTTTTTGCCATAAATCTGGTATATCCATATACCATTCATTTCGTTCTGTTCATTCTCCTTTCCCCATCCTGAGGTCACTTTCGATTTCCCCTTTTCAGTAGGCATTTTGTTTGCTAGCCTATGCCCTTTTTCTATTTATTTCTCGTAGCACTAGAGATAACTTATGAAGTTGCCCTAGCTAGCTACGTGCCTAGCTGGATAGCCAGGTGTTCCTCCATCTGCGCTTCATTGCGCTCAATATTCATAAAGGCGCCTTGATGATAATCCCTCCCCCCCCCCCCCCCCCCCCCCCCCCCTTTTTTTTTGCGGGGGGGGGAATAAAGGAGATAAAAAATTCATTTTGTTTTCTCCCCGGGGGTCTCTCCTTTGTGTTATAAAAACCCCCCGCTTTTTTTGGGGGGTTTTAATTCCCCCAAATCTCCCCCGGGGTTGCATCTACTCTGGATGAGAGTCCAGACGACCAAGTACCCTGGTCTTTTTTGGAGTGCAGTTCGCATTTATCCCGGGAGACTCTTAGAGACCGTGCCTTGGGGTGAGGAAGGAAAGTTTGGATTTTTCCTTTTGTTTTTCCCCC